GTGTGTGTGTGTGTGTGTGTGTGTGTACTTGTTACTGCTACAGAGTGAGGACCGTCATATGCTTTTAACCAACAAAGTGAGGATATTACCCCACATTTCTTCTTAGTACTATTGCACTATAGGTGTAGTGGTATGGTGTGAATGAAGTTTTGGTTAGGAATAGACTAGTAATGGTTAGGGCAGGGGTCTGCAACCTGCGGCTCTGGGGCCACATGAGGCTCTTTTGTCCGTCTGCAATGGCTCTTTGAAAATGTAACCAAACATAACAGAATATTTATTTTGTTTTGTTTTTATACTTACAACATAAATAGATTGTATGCAAATATGTGATCAATACTAATACAAAAAGTAAACCATGTTAATTAGCTCATGCTAGACTGTTGTTTACCTAAATAGTTCAACTTCTATGATCTTTCTCTCAAATCCATCAGGGTTATGTTTAAACACCTTTAAGTCTACATTATAATAAGAATTAGAAAAGAAACGTGTCTGAATAGTTCAGTTGTACTAGTTTTTATGAAATTCACTATAAACTATATACAGTATTTTTCTCGTGCATGAATGTTTTTATCTTTTGTCCTGAAGTGTAAAAATAATAATAATAAAATTCACAGTAAATTTTTTTAGTTTTATAATGTCACCTCCACTGGCCGTAAAGGTTCCTGAAAAGGCCTCAAAAAGGCCCGCGGACCACCAGTTGATAATCATGGTTGTAACTTATTTTGCGGCTCTGGACACATTTTATTAGTGCGTCGAGGAGCAGAAATGGCTCTTTGGATTGTAAGCTTTGCAGAGCCCTGGGTTAGAGTCAGGAWAAATGTCTGGGTTAGGCTTAAATGCAGTTACAAAAATGACTGGAAGTCCGTACAAAGTCCTCAGTTTGTTGGAAGTATAGAGATGTGTGTGTCAGAGTGTAGTAGAGACCACATTCACACACTCTGTAACCTGCTGTGTGTGTGTGTCTCCTCTTCATCATGTCTCCCAACAGAACAAATGAAGCTGTAATTACAGAAGAATCAGAGCTGCTTTCACCGCAAACCTTCATCTGATGCTGTGTTCAGTGTCAGCTGGGAACTTCTGCTGTCGTACAGAAATACCCTGAAGCTAAATGTATTAGCTTGGCTAAAACTGATCACTTCAATAATCTGAGGTTTATTTTTGTTTATGCATCAAAACACATTTATTAAAGCAACTTCCCAGTTGATCAGTTAATTAACTCATATGGTTTTCAGATTAGCGTTAATGGCTGTGTCCAAAACGGCAGGACGGGTCCTCTGAAGGTCGAATTCGTCGGCCGCATACGTCACAGCGCCGCGACGAAGGACGTCCAAAGCCGAAGACTCCTCTGATGCGGCCGACAAATACGTCCTTCCTTTGGCCCGAATCGAAGGACAGGTCCGATGGATCCTTCCCGGCCC